GCTGTTATGCGATTTTGCTGTTATGCGATTTTACCACACTCGCAAAATCGCACACAGCCGACCATATAACAAACTCTGTATTTTGAGTGGAAATGTTAGGGGTTCGTCTTATACGCCCAGTCGTCTTATACGCCGGCAAATACGGTACCTCCCAGAATAAGCCCTAAGAAGTAAGCTGTACTAGAGCAATCGAGTCAGAGAAACCGAGTGGAACGCAAGCTCCATAAGGGCGGGGCCCTTTGGCTGCTGGATTTAAAGAGGCATCTGTCCCAAGCACCCAGCGTCCCATCTGGCACAGACTCAGCATTCAAAAACTATTTGTTGAATGAATGGTTAGGGAAAATGACCTTCCAAGAAGAGCTAAGGTAAAATGTAATGAAGCAAGTAGCTATCATGATATACCATAAGCACTCCATAGGCAGGTGTTGCATTTATTAGTTTTCTAGGACTGTATAAACACAAAATTATATCCTATGGAATCCTATGGGGGAGGGTGCTGTGTTTTTTTACAGCATTGTTGGATATTTGTATATTTCCATATTATAAAATTCATCCATTTATAAAGTATATAGCTTTAAGGTTTTAGTGTACAATCGTCATCACAATCTAATTTTAGAACATTTTCAACATTCCCAAAAGAAACCCCATACCCATTTGCAGTAACTCCACATTCTCACTACCCACCCACCTTCAGTCTTAGGGAACCACTAATCTATGTTCTGTGTCTTTATGGATTTGTCTTTTCTGGACATTTCATATTAATGGAGTCAAACAATATGTGGTCTTTTTTGTTTGGCTTATTCACTTAGCATAATGTTTTCAAGATTCTCCCATGTTGTAGCTGTGTCAGTACTTCATTCCTTTTTATGCCAAATAACATTCCATTTTAGAGATATACCACATTTTGTTTATGCATTCTTTAGTAGATGGACTTTTGAGTTATTTCTATTTTTGGTTATTATAAATACTATTGTTATGAGCATTCATGTATAAATTTTTGTGTGCACATATGTATTCATTCTTCTTGAGTACTGGAGTGGAATTATTGGGTCACATGTCAACTCTATGTTTAACTTTTTGAGGAACTTCCAAACTGTTTTCCAAAGTGGCTGCATCATTTTATATTCCAGCAAGTATATAAAGCTTCCAATTTCTCCACATCCTTGTCAACACTTGATATTGTCTTTTAAAAAAAAATCATCCTAATGGATCTGAAGTGTTATCTCATTGTGGTTTTGATTTGTGTTTCCATGATGGCTAGAGGTGTTAAGCATCTTTTCATGTGCTTGATGGCCATTTGTACATCTAATTTGGAGATATTACTATCCAGATCCTTTGTTTATTTTGTAATTGAGTCATTTGTCTTCTAATTATTGAATTGTATGGTTTCTTTATATATTCATCAAGTCTGTTATTATCGGATGTGTGATTTGCAAATGTTTTCTCCCATTTTGTGGTTTGTTTTTTCATTTTCTTGTTGGTGCCCTTTGAAGCACAAAAAGCTTTTATCTTGATAAAGTCCAATGTATCTATTTTTCTATTGTCATTTGTGGTTTTGGTGTCGTAGCTAAGAAACCTAATTGAAGAGCATGAACATCTATGCCTGTCTTTCTCTACAAGTCTCTCTCTTACATTTAGGCCTATGAGCCATTTTGAGTTAAGTTTTATGTATGATGTGAAGTAGGAGTCCAACTTTATTCTTTTACTTTGGATATCCAGTTGTCTAAGCACCATTTGTTGAAAAGACTATTCTTTCCTCCATTGAAGTGTCTTAGCACTTCTGTCAAAAATCAATTGACCATATTGTGAGGTCCTCAGGTTTTGATGTTGCAAACATAGTCTGTGCTTACAGATATTCTGGTTCTGAGTAAACCTGATGAGACCCCATGAGTAATCCTAGAGTAGGTGTCACGAGATGTGGTGTGGAGTAGTATTAGTAGTAGCTCTACTCATACGATGGAATTAGGAAAGTCAAGGAATATTCACATTTCTAAGTTTCCTACTTTGTAAAATGAGGTGAATAATATCTGCTCTTTCAGCCACGTAGATAATTGTGGTAAATACATGAAATAATATGTGAGAAAACAACTAACATTATGAAGCCATGGACAAATCTGAGGTAGTGCCGTCTGCATTGAGAAGTAGTTTCGTTGATAGACTGATTTTGTTTGGGATCCATTTCACTCTCAAAATCACTGGGATTTGGTTTACTCTATGGTAGGAAAAGTGTCCCGGTTGCTATTGTAATATGGGTTAAATTTAATCCAAATTCTGACTATTTGATATTTACAATGGATAGATTTGTTTTACAAAAAAGTGGACTGAGATCTACTTTGTTGAGCCAAATATGTTTTGAGAAAGTTCATACCACAACCACCATCACCCCAAATTATAAATTCCCAGAAATTTGGAAACATGATCTGTTCATTTTAGGCCAACTATTTTCCTTAGATCTTTCAAAGAATACAGAGTTGACTCTCCTTTGAAACCAGGAAAGTTGAATCTCTTTTTCTACTTTGATGAAGCTTCCAAATTTTTGTAACTCTAGCATTCTTATATTCCAAAAGGTACAATAAAATAAGTTGAATGCTATCCTATATTTCTAAAATTCTTCTACTACAAAGAAGTTTTCCACAGTTTTGCTGTTTCATATGTCACTTTAAAGAAAGTTAATGATTTGATTGGACTTAATTTCTTATATGGGCTATTAATTCAAACATGGCAGGGTTTATTGGTTAGTTGCAGTATGTTCAGGTGTTTCTAGATGCCAGGTTTAGTTTGGAAGCTGGCAGCCCCTGGGTTATTATTTTGGCTTTCATTTCTGATTCACGTTTTGATTCAGAAATCGCTAAGGCTGAGGGACGTGCTTTGAGTAGGGCCAATCTAAGGCTGAAAGAAACAACCCCTAAACCTACATTGATAGACCTACCCTTCCTTCCACCTTCGTGTCTTAAGTCTCCTTTTTGGCCCCTAACCTAAAGACAAGAGTGGGATGGAGATAATTAGGAATGATGGCCAGTGGTAGGTGACTCTGTATGCCACTCTGGACGGCAGTGGAGACGGGGCACTTATCCTTCAGAGCCCTTGACATGGCAGGACAAAATATAGCTTAAAATTGAGCCCTTTTCTCATGCCAGGCTCCTCGCTGCTACTCTGTTTTCTCATTTCAATTATACTCATGAGTAA